GGGCTCTCTCTTCAACCATCTCATTCTCAACATCACCAAAGAACCTCTCTTCTGGGGTTCATATCTGTGCCTCGTTCTGAAAGAAGTCCTACAAAATTGGAGTGTGGCAGAATCCCACCTATTAAACTGGATTGCAATCAACAGCTATGTAAGCTACTTTGAGTAGTTCAAATCGGCCACACCCGACCTAACACACAGAGACCAGGGTTATCTGCACTGAGACAGGCAGGACAGTTGGGAGGAACAGTATCAAGTCACAAAGAACTCTAAACAGTAAGGTGGCAGCAAAAACACGTTTAACTCCAAATTTACAAGTAGGTTTGAATTCTACTTTGTGAATACAAAATTTGACCAGAGCTTTCCTGGTGCCCTTCACTAAGGAAATCCTGAAGATTAAGAATGCAATTTTCAAAATAAAAATATAAAATGCAAGTATTTCGTAATTAGGGAGAAACTGTGCATCGAGCATCTACGGGAGCCAGGTTATTACATCGATTATGTGTTTTATAATAATCTATAAATACATAGTGTTTATTTACTAATTTTACAGAGGAGGAGGAGACGTGGACTTAAGAAAGCACAGTGGGACCCAGCGTGGTGGCACACACCTTTGATCCCAGCACTTGGTGGTAGGCAGAGGCAAGTGGATCTCTGAGTTTAAGACCAGCCTGGCCTATAGAGTAAGTTCCAGGACAGCCAGAACTACAAACGGGGGGAGAGGGGGTGACACACTAAATCGAGCTAGAGAAAGAGAGAAAAAACAAGCAAACATAGTAACTGCCCAAGAGCAAGCAGCGGGCAGAGCAAGGCCCTCACCCTACTCAGGGAGCCCGAAGCCACCACCACATGCTGACACTCTGCTAATGAAGAGAGACAGGCAGGATACAAGGACCCTACATCTAACAGCATTCCCAGGGCAGTTTCAACTCCTTCCTACAGAAACTTCCTCAAATTATTAGTCCACTTTCCTCCTTGACTTTAGATTTGTATCCCTCCACATTTCAGGCCTTTTTTATCTGTTCCTAAACACAAAGTTATGGGATTTTAAACTTAGGTCGGCACACATTTAGCACAAGAAGTAACATTTATATACAGTGACATTTCTGAAACTGTTAACGGACAGAGTGATTCCAGACCCATAGGCCTTCCTGGCTGGGCTCCCCAACAACATTCTGTCATGGAGACTGGCCCTCACAAGTGTAGAGCCAGCCAAGCTCTCCAGAGGTGGACAGAACTAACCCTAGGACATGCAACCTTTGCCCCCCTTCTTTTACCACCTCTACCTATGGAAGAACTCAGCAGAACCCAGCCCTGTCTGTCAGGGAACTTTAAAAACCACTCTTAGGCTAACTCTTCCCTAAAGTGCCATGGCTGTCTGCACAAAGAAGACTGAGACTTAGGAGAAAAAGTCAATCAACAAACTGACCAAAAAAAGAGCAAAGATTTCATAAGCCTTCCCACCTCTCCCTGTTACATACACGAGTGCGTGTGTGCACACACATATAAATACACATACACACATTCACATATAAACACACACGTGTGCATACACACACACACATGCACACATACACTTGGCACATTTGGAACTTTAGATGGTTTTTCTTATTCTCACCTTCGCTGCCAAGAGACCCAGTTCTAAAACAAAGACACATTCAAAGTAGTTCTCCCACGTTAATGCTACAAAACACACTGGCGTTTTCTGCAGACACTCAAGAGCACACACATGGGCACATGGGCATGTGAACTGAGCAATTCAGCTTTGGAGTCTGACTTCCGGAGGTGTGAGAATTGTACTGAAGAATGTAGACTACATGGAAAAGTTTCACCACCTCTCAAGCGTTGGACACTATGATTCTACTGGATTTTGCAAAACTTGATAACTCCTAACAGCTCCCCGCAACACACTCCTGTCTCCCTCCTCCTTCCTTCAAACCTTTCCAAACACCACAAGTCTCCACCTCTTGTCTTTCCCTGTCCCAAGAATTTGTCATATGATTTATAAAACAGAGACTCCCATGTCAACAAGGCTGTTCCAAGCCTCATCTTCAACCAATCTTCTGCCTAGAGCACTATGCTGGCTATTTACCCCAGTTTCATAGTGGTAATTACAGCATCATGGGAGAAAGAAGGGAGAAGGGAGGGTAAGAGCAGAAGTAACAGAAGTAGATGATGTTAAAATACATACACACACACACATATATATATACATAAGTTGGTCACCTGGGACTTTATTCTTAGGTTCATTTTGATACTTGCTGTGTGAAGTCTAAAACCCCATATCAGCAACTTATAAGGAACACAAGCCCCTTGATACGAAGATACCTGGTCTCTCTGAGTCTCACTCCTTTTCTTTGGCACAGCTAGCCCTCGAGATGTTTCCTTACTCAAAGCCCACTCTCCACACATCCCTTTAATCAGATCTCCAGAATTACACTAAAAATAGTCACTTGAAAAGCAGGGCCTAGAGAGGAGAAACACCAGAGGTCAGGTACTTCCTATCTTAAAGAACCTTGTAACTTCCCAAACTCAACGGAATACCTTGACTACCTCAAGGTCATTCTGGGAATTCTTAGTACAGATAAAGATTCAGGAGCCTAAGGCAAGATTTTCTGCTCTTTTGCCTTTGCCTGACAACATAAAATCTCCTTCTGCTACCTCAGGAGCAAGGGGCACTCTCAGGTCCTAAGCGTACCAAGTCAACACAAAAGTAAAAGGTTCACATTTTATTACTTCCTAAAACAATTGCTTTTATAATTTCCTAAATTTTCCAAACACTGTTAATTGGCACGCACCAAACAACACACTAGCGACTAATAATTTTTTTTAACTTCCTGACTTGTCCTTCCCCTCCTCTCCCCCATTGAATTACATTATTTGACTACAGTCGAGTCCTTGGGCTTCTTTCAACTTGGATTCAACTATTCACGTGTTATAAAAACTTTTCTGGTTGGCTTATTTTTAAAGTGTGGGCGTAACTTTATCATGTGAGGTCTTAATTACTCCGAGAGCTTTGCTAATGTCTTTTTTGTTTTGTTTTGTTTTTCTACACAAGGTTTCACTATATAGCCCTAGCTCTGTAGACCAGGTTGGCCTCAAACTCACAGAGATCCGCCTGCCTCTGCCTCCTGAGATCAAAGACGTGCGCCATGACCACCCGGCTCATGTCTTAAGAGTCAATTCTTCAGTATTTCATGGGAATAACTGTGGCTGCAAAAAGTACAGATTGTGTGATATTTAACTAATAAGTCTTAAGACTTGTTTACCACACAGCCAATCCCTGTATTATACAAACAGCCATATAAACTCAGGGTTCTACAAACTTAAGAGTTCCCCAGAGGATGAAGATTGTCTGAGGTGCCAAGTTAAAGTCACACTATGAATTCAAGTCACTTCCCTTGATCCTCCCATATGCATTACTTCCACAAAGAACTTTCTCTGGATTGCTGAGATGTTTAAAGGAGCTTATTAATATTAGATTACTTCTTAAAATTATGATCCTTCACATAAATCTAAAACTATTAGTATGGCAGGGCTACGCAACTGTCTCCCCAAAAGAATGAAAGGGTAGAAGTCTCTCTTGTTTCTCATTAGCAAGAGAAAATTTTCAAACGATCCTGCCCTCCCTTTACGGGTAGGATGACAACAACCTATTTAAGTCAGAGATGTAACACAGCCAAAGGTCATGTGCCACAACTCCATTTAGAAAACTGCGAGACTACCTCAACAGGAGGGAGACTATCCAAAGCTTTCTGTTCTGATCACCTTAATAAACAAGGACTAACCCTGTGAATTAAAGGAACCAAGTACTTGGGCACTCTAGTAGCTCATTAGCATGATACGCATCACAACAGCAGTTCAAGCTATGTGGCGAACAGGTATTTCACTATTAATTGAAAGTTGCCAGTGAAATGAAGGAAAGAATTCAGATCTGAACTCTGGGCAGAACTGTCTAACCCTCCTTCAACATAACTCAGTGTATTTTATTTTAAACAGAGAAGCACAGAGCAGTGAGCATGGTGTTGAGCTTGGATGTCGCCTCCAGCTTAAGTCCAGAGAGGGAGGAATTCTGTATTCTAAAGGAAATCCTTAAGACATCAATGGCAGCCAGTCAAGCTGAGGACAGTGCAAACACCTCCAGATCAGAAATAATGTTAAGCAAGATTTCAAAGCCAATTACCTTCAGCCCTGGGGCTAGACCAACAGTCTAACCGTACCCCACCAACAACTTTCCCAGACCTCTCTCAGGACACACTTCAAAGTTGCTTTGCTCAATAAAAAATGGCGCTGCTTTCTCCATCCCAACATTGTTTATTTCTCAGTAATCCTGAGGCCCTTTAAACAACCAAATTCTACTGGCCTCATTTAAATACCCAGCCTTCCCTAGTGTCAAATGCTTCTCTGAGGGTAGGGTGAGGGGACAGGATGGCTGCTCCTATCCACAGCTGCAACTTTTTCACCACAAACCTTGGCATCATGAACTCACTTGGACTTCTCTTCATAACCTGCCTTCCCCCAAACTGTTGCCTCGCAGTCTCTCCAGTCACACTTCAATGCAAACTGTCCCCAAGTGCAGGACCTCTCGAGCCCCAGCCATTCACGCCCCATCCTGGACACTAGGCACCCAAACCAAGCTCAGACTCCAGGAGCGGATACCCCGCGGCCGTCCCTGGGTCCACCGTCCCCGGGACTCCGGGGTCCGGCGCCCGGCGGCCGGGCAGCGACAGCATGCACACCCGCACGTCTGTCTAGCCCTCCCCGGCGGGCTGTCGCCGAGCCTCCGCCCGCGCCCACCCCCGCCCGGGGCGGCGATGGGGGGCTGGGTGGGCACCAAGGCACCAGCCAGAGCGACAGGCGAGGGGACGAGGCCAGCTGCGCGCCCCCGCCCCGCCGGCAGCCGGGCACACAGCGGCCCCGGCCCCAGCCCCCACCCTGCTCCCGCCCGGGTGGCACCACGGCCGGCAGGGGCGACCAGGGCGCGACGCCCCGGACGCCGGTACCTGATCGATGGGCAGCTGCACGGCGTTGCTGAGAGGCTGCAGCAGGGTGGAGCCCGTGGTGCTGGTGGTGGCCATGGCCGGGCCTCGGCGCTGCGCCCGCTCGCCCGCTCCGGCCAGGCGCCGCTCGCCCTGTGCCGAGCTACGCCGGGGATGGGGATGCAGCGGCGCGCCCGCCCCTCGGCCGCCCGCGGTCGGAGCAGCCGCGCGGGGAGGGGCCGTGGGCGGAGCCGCTCGGTCCCGCCCACCGCGCGGCGCCCCGCCCACCCGGCCGCCGGCCAGCGCGGCCCCCTCACGCCGCCCGGCTGCCCGATTTCCAGCAGCTTCCAGCGCCCCCTCCCCACCGCGCGCACCCGCGCGCCCGACAGCCCCGCGGCCCAATGGTAGCGCGGCGCCCCGACTCCCGCAGCCAATCAGAGGACGCCTGCCTCGCCGCGCCCCTCCTCCGTGCAGAGGGCTCGGGCGAGGGGCTGAGGCTCGACCGCGACCGTCGCCCGAGGGAGGGCGAGCGCGAGTCGTGATCGCCGGCGGGGGCGTGCGAGGGCGGCTTTGCCTCCGCCTCTGTTTGCTTCCTCTCTCAGGAATGGTGGGCGCCGTCCCCACCCCTCCCTGGCGGAGCGGCGGACAACAAAGGGGCTCGGGGTGGCGGCCAGACAAAGAGGGGGGACTTGGAATGGACGCAGCGCCTGAGGAAGTTGAGGGACAAAGCTAGGGGGGCTGGGAGCCGCAGGGCGACGCACCACAAGGACCCCCAAACACAAAGTGCCTTTGTCCCCGTGCTGCCCAAAGTTGCGAGGATCCGGGCGGACCTGCCTCATCCGCGCCCACCTGGGCCTCACGAGCCGCGCTGGCACCTCGCTCGCTCGCATGCTCGCATCGCTCATCCAGATCAGAGGGACACAGGTCGGACCTGGGCAGCGCCAGCCCGAGGGAAAGCCTGGGTAGCCAGCGGCCAGCAGTAGAGGCCCCGCCTTCTAGAGCAAAGGCTGCTGCTGGTAAGCATCCCTTCTGGCCCAGCGAGCATCTGTCTCTGCCCAGATGCGAATTCTGCTGCGTCCACACACATTCCCTGTCGGTGTGGCATCCCCTGCAAAATGTGATTCTTGACCCTTTAACTTAGCGAAAGCAAGCCATGTGGACACCTGGAAAATGCCAACCTCGTCCTCTCAAAATGCAAGTGGGAGGTTGAAACAAGGAAATGTTTAAAGGAGGGGGCTTTGAAAGGTAGACAGCTTTGTGAGGTAGGTATTGTAACCACCCTCAATCTAACGAGGAAATTTCATTTCAGAAAAAAATTACATAATTTAACCAAGAGCTAAACAACCATGTGTGGTCGTAGGGGGAGGAGTGCAATCCAAATGTTTTAGCCCCATTCTAAGCTCTTAAAACATAAGGCTTTTCACCGTATGACTTAACAGCCACTCCAGAGTAGCCATCAACTACAGGTACACCACTTCCTCGAGGACCACTCTAGAGTCTTCAGTAGCGAGAGCACAGTGCTTCAGAGAGCCTGGCTGTGGGCTCAGCTGTCTCTGAAAAAGGGCTGACCCAATTAGTTCGGGGCAGTCCCTTCCTGCCCACAGCTCTCGGGTGGGCAACTGAGCTCTAGTAAGGTTTTTTAATCTATGATAGAGAGGGTGGAAAGAAAGAAATTCAAATGATATCTTTCATTCTTGATGTAGCGTTGCAACTCGCTGGGACCCATTAGAAGACAAACCTGGTCAATAATGCTAAAATAGCCCCAAAATCTGAACCTGTCTATTAATATAACCTTGGAGGGAAGACCACTTTTTTCCCCTCTTTTCTCCACTTTGGGGAAGTATACAGGTGGCCTGGCATACAAACTGAAGTAAGAAATTAAAATACCATTTTAAAGGCTTGAGAAGTGGGCGTCAGAAACATATTGCCACCTAAAGCAGGCAGCGTACAGATAACAATCCTAGAACAAGTACTGTCTACCAAAGCAATTGTGTCAGGATGATTTTTTTTTTTTTTTTTTTAGAACAAGACAGAACATAGTTTCTATTGGGAGTGACTCCTTTAAAAAGAGGTGTGGCTGGGGGGATCCTTCCTGTCAGCCTGTTGCCCCAAGGAAAGTAGATAAAAGTGATGGTGAAAAGTGGGGAGAGGGTTTTAATCAAAACAGCCACTTGGGAATAATGGAAGTTAAGCACCTCTGTCCATCTTTGCGGTAGTGATGTACACTCTGAGTAGAGGGGAAAATTAGAGCAAGGGGCATGAAGTGTGTATAATTAAGCATGCCCATGGTCTCTTTGACCATTATCTCAGTTGTAGTTCTACAGAAATGGCCCTAGATAAGTTCTTGTTGTTTGGTGGGACAATCATGTTTGATTTAGGGTGATGCCATGAATTTAGCTGTCTGTCAGGCTCTGTGTTTCTGGAGTCGATGATGCCTGTAGGATTAGGACATGACTAGAGACATTTGGGCACTTTTGGGGATGTCTGAAACAAGATATTGTAGTTGCTGGCAGTTTATTGTGCCTTCAGCCTTGGAAGGGGATGAAATAAGTATTATCAGTTTTTAGATATTCTTTAGTTGAGCAACAAGCCAGCCACACCATTGTTTACAGAACTGATGGGATTGATACCCCAGTTTAAAAAGATTTCCCTTCCTCTACCTTTTTTCTTCAGCCCAGTCATGATACCCACTCACACTGAAGAAGGCCTTTTTCCTTACACAGTCCAGGATTAAAAAACTGTAGACATATCCAGAAATACTGTTTTATTATCTATCCAGTCTTCCATTAACCTAGTCAAGTTGATGTATTAAATTAACTATTCAAGAAGTTTAGTGTAATTATAAAAACGGAAAAGGTTTTTCTCTTAGGAAAGTACCACATCTGGATTTAACTGATTTTCAGTATATAGATAAATTAAGACATTGTGTGGTATACTGTAAAATATAGACACTTTGTCAACTCCACCTTAAATTTTCAAATACTCCATCTTTATGTTCCTAATAAAGAAACTGAGATCCTTCCACACTTTGAGCTAACTTAGTAATCAAAGTGTAAATTGGCCTCCTGGCCAGTATCTGCTCATTAAACTAGACCCTTTAAATGAGAAACAACTCAATTAATTATATGTAATTCCTCACTGTCCCACCTAAAATAACCAACCTATGACAGCAATCCTCATGCCCCTAACTCTTAAAAAAAAAAATATTGAATACTTACCATGTTCAAGGAACTATGTGAATGCTGTTTAAAAAAAAATAGTACTTACAATCAAAAGACAAAATCGTCCTGTTTGTGAGACAGTCAAAAGTAATACAAAGGATCACATAAAGTCAGTCTTTAAGGAAAAAAGACAGTACTCTTCCAGAGAACACAGCAGCTTGGTTGGTAATCAAAACACCTGAATTTTTTTTTTCCCAGTATTGCTGTCGACTTCTGTATGCCCTGAGTTTCCCATTGTTAAGTGAGGGTAATGATGACAGTCCTACTTCACAAGAGTGAAGAGTGACTGTGAGTTTGAAATTAATAATGGACTGGATTTTAAAGATATCAGTAATATTTTACTATTAAAATACTACTAATAATAATAAGTGGTAAAGAATTTTTAACGTAGAAATCACACCATTAATATCATTAACATCATTACTAACCAAAGCCAAAGAGTACTGAGCAGTGTTTGTGGATGACAAGTGACAAGATAGCTGTGTTCTTGTCTGATTTCCTTGCCCTTGCCTCTGAAAATGGCTATGATAATTAAACACTGCTACAATAAAATGTTCCCTCCTCGACTTATTTTTAACTTTGAATAAACCATTCAGAAGAAATGAATAATCTGCCAAGCTGCTTTTGTTGTGTAAAAAAAATGGTATATGTCGTGAAATTAGAGCTCTTGGGCAATTATTTTGCCTATTTTATACCCTTTATATCCTGGAATCACTTCAGAGATGAAGGCCATTGAACCACATACATAATAAGGTCTGCTAACTGGCTGGCACCCTGTAGTACTCACAAGGTAAGCTTAACCTGGGGAGGTCAACCTCTAAGACCTAATAAGCACCAATTAGGAAATAACAAGCCAGACCAAACAAGAGGTGTCCACTGCAGTAAAGGTCCTGGCTCTCCAGAATCTGCCACTTAGGAGGTCTCTAACAAAGAACGGAACTCTCACCTCCAGTCCCTTTGCCTTCATATTGAACAAACTAGAGCTCAGTGCTCTCCTCTGTACTTGTATGATTCCCATGGACTTCTAGGGCTTTGTCTATCTCCAAGAATCTGCCATTCAACCTAGATTTAATATTATATTGAATTAATGATTAATATTCAACCTTTATGAAGGATACAAACAACTATTTTTTTCCTAGAGGAATAGCAGAGCTTTGTGGTTGCTCTGTAGGCTTCAGAGCTACTTTTGATTTACTATTTCTCCAGTCAACCTTGCTTCTCTGTATTCTTCAGTAAAAATACCTACTTGGAATCTGTGTATCTTGGGGAAGTCGTCTGTTTTCTTTTATTCGACTTTGTGTGTGTGTGTGTGTGTGTGTGTTTGTATGTGTTAAGGGAGTTTTACCTACATGTCCTGCATGTATATTTGTTCACCATTTGTGTGCCTGGTGTCCACAGAGGCCAAAAGAGGGCTTTATGAAACATCCTAAGTATAAAGCATTAAAATCACGCCAGGTTGCATCATAATCACCGTCCATTACCACCTGCAGCATTTATTGCATTAGCCAGGGTAAGACCGCCTCACTTTGTTTAGTTCTGCCTAATGTTTCTGTTTCTTTCTTTTATTTGGGGTTTTAAGAAGTCCCCCTCCTGAAATGTATTGACATATCACTGCTTTGCTAAACAGTGTGGCCTATCCACTAAGAGAAGGGTCTGCTTGACCACACCTCTGTCTGTTTCTGTATCTGTCATGTCTGTAATATCCCCAAGAAGCCTGCCACCCTTTCTGTAGGGAAACCTGTCCGACAGCACATCCTCATAGGTATCTCCAACCCTTCTATTGCTGGCATCAGGTTTGGGTCCATGGCTTACAACACCAACACCGGTGTCCTACGCAATGAAGAATTAGGGGCAAGAACCATCTCTCCTGATGAGGTCTATGATTACACATCTAACCCAGTTCTCTTGCCAAGGATTTGCTCTCCAGGATAGGTGACTCTTCAGTACATGAGGTTTCTGCTGAGGAAGGCCTAATAATCAGATAAGGCCAGGTTT